AGTGGTGCCCAGCGATAAGGCAAGAAAGAATTCCATCTGAACGTTAGAACCAGTAACTTTTACTGAAATAGGCTGAAACCATAGTGAAACCACTAAAAACAAGAGTGAAAGCACTAAAAGATGGTACCTTTCCATGCAGAAATATATTAGCTTGCTAGCTGGTGGCTGCTTTGTCCAGCCAGTTTGGTTGGCTGCCTGTGGAGACCACTCACAACGTCTGGATCGGGTTGTTCTCGATCCTGCTCTTGACTTTTCATTCCTGTCATGGAGCAGCTTCAAGCCCCCACTTCCATTTCTGATGATCTAGGGAGATAGTGCTGCTTATTAATTTCTGTAGAGGAGAAGTCAGAGAGGAAAGGAGTGCCAAAAGCTTTGCCCAGAACCTGAATCTCTGGTATAAACCCTTTCCTTCTGCCAGGTAACATACAGAATGTTTTAGTTCTTGGGCCGATAAGCAATGATAAATGAGCTTCAGTGGGCAAGTGCGTAGCAGGAGAATACTTTCTGCTGTGAATTGCACTCTGACGCTAGAATGATTTAATGTCTGCTAAATGTTAAATTGTGTTTGCAACAGAGAGACTGCAGTTGCTGTTTGATAACGATTTGTAATTGCATATCACCAGCTCTCTCTGCTCGTCCCGCTAAGGCGATTTTAAGGGGATGTTGTGTGTTTTTGTAAGGTGATTTAACATGTTACAGCCAAACTTACCCACATTAAATTCAGGTATATTGCTGCTCCTTGTGCTTCAAGCAGAGTGTTACATTCTCTCCCCAGAAAGGAGGGACAGACTGCTCTTGTGCCTGTGGTTTGGCAGGTTATAGATGGGGCTGACTGACAAAAAGTGGGTTAAGATGCTTTGTATTGGATGCTTTCCTTTTTCTATAAATACAACTACTGCAGTTGCCTGCTCTGCTTCCAGGCTGCAGCTTCCCTTTGAAGCCAGGGCACATCAAGGATCTAATAAGCAGACCTGCTGACTTCCTAAGTGGAGGCAGTGCTGCAGTGATCCTTGAAGCTGCGGTAGCTGGTTCACCTCAGCCTACACGCTGCTTTAGACATCAGTACCCCTGGGGAGCACGGCTGGCTTGGCTACTGGTGTGAAATACTGTGCAGTGTGTCCCTGGAGAAAAGGAGGGAGCATTTGAAAGCACTTCTCAGCACTTTGGTGTTTGGCGTTAGGCTGGGGGCGCAGGGCAGCCCTGCCACTGCTTGCTGTGCCCCTCTGCTCCTCACTGCCCTTCTGGAAGGGCAGCGCTGGAGGTGGCCGAGTCCTGCTGCCACATACTCAGGCTGAACTGTTGCCTGTGTTGGTAGAGGGAAAGTGAGTATGTGGAGTAACTGGAGGGAGAACTCCAGTTTAAGCCTTGTTCAGCAACTCGTTTCTCTCACTGTTTAATCAAGATAGTAAGCAACGGTGATGAAAAGGACGTTTTCCTCTGTGTACATGGATTTTACCAATGTTTCTTTGAACATCTTAAGGGCTAAAAGCAAACAAAGCATAAGCCACCCACATGGCAAAAACTCAATACGCTTCTCTGCTCCGCAGCTTGACTTAAATAAGTATATTCCATCTCTTCTGTCATCATTTATGCTCCAGTACCCTGCTTTTGTCTAGAGAACTAACTGCTTCTCTATCATCTGTGTGAATACACTATCAGCACAGACTGTATATACACACACATGCGCTATAGATAGTCGGTGTCTACATGTAGGTGCGTGGAGGTCTGACGTGGACATGGCCATCGCCTGGATTTTGAATCTGTTTGCACGTGTTTGTCCTCTGCTGTGGACAAAGCTTTGTTCCTTCTGCAACCACATTAGGACGTCAGTGCCCGGTGCTGATGAGCACTTTTGCTAGAAATAAAACTAAAGGTATATGTGGACAATCCGAGTGCAAGAAGGGCTGGGAGTGGAGCCCCCTGGCTCTGTTTGCCTGATGCACAGCGTGGCTCTGCCCTGGGGATGTCTGAAGCCTTTGGCTTACCTTCCAGCCAGCACAGGGCTCCAGCAGTTGCGGGCAGCCCAGCGCTGGGCGCTGGACTGTGGCCTCTCCTTGCTCCCAAGGGACAGTGCCCCTTCTGCCAGCTGCTGGATGGCTGCTGCTTCCCGTTTTGCTTCTTGCGATGGGAGTCTAGGGTCCCTTGAGAGCCCTTTGGTTTGCTGATGCCTGTCCTTCCTTCGTCGCCCGCACTTGTCCTGCTGTTTTGTCTTTGCTTCCCCCCTGGATTTGTGTCACACAGGTTCCTCAGCTGTTTTCTCCAACACAATCCAGTATTTATAAACCCAGCAGCTATATGTGGAAGGAAGTTGTCATTTGGGAAATAAACCTGGTAGTTTCAGATTCCTTCAGTGCTTATTTTCCATGGATTTAGTTGCAACCCAACAAATTGCAGATGAGTCACCTGCCACTGGCTGCACTGTCCCAGCCCCAGCTCGTGTGGAAATCCTGCTGGAACAGCTCAGGCTGTCCAGGGAAGAAGAGCCCTGACCCTTCACCATGAGCCCTGCGCTTAACCTGCACCCTGAGCCCATCCTGAGAGGTGCTTCCCCTGACGAGCACCAAGCAACAAGCTGCCTGAGCCGGGCACTTCCGAAACACAGCACAAACGTCGGCTGTGCCCCGTCAACCACGTTTCCTGTTTCCTACTGCTCAGCCCCTGTAAGGCGGGGAGCTCTTGATGGCAAAATGTCTTCAGCTCCTCAGGGAGCTGCTGCTGCGGTCAGCTCTGGGGCTGTCTGCGGGCGCCTGCCCTCCCTGCAGGTGGGAAGTGCTGCAGATGAAGTCTAGTCAGCACCTCCAACATTTACCAAGTATTCCTGGGTGATTGTGCCCTATTATTGCATTGCTGATACGCTCCAACCATTGTTTGCTCTGTACATCCATTACAGCTGCCTCCGACGGCAGGATCCCTACAAAGGGAGTGATGAAAGGCGCACCATTCTTCTGTTAGCTAGCCCTTTCTCTTGCCGGGACCCTGCCTTGCTGATAGAACGCTCAGAGCTGTCTAAAATGTAAAGGAAGCAAATTAAAGAGTGTCACTGTGGTAACAGCATTTAAAACCCGTTCGTGTTTCCTGCTGCGGAGCACTACGAGAGTTCACTTTGCCGTGGGATACATGAAAGGTAGAAAGGTATTTTAAAATGGAGAGAGCTGCTTCTGGGTGCTCCAACACAGATCGATGTGATCAGGTTTCCTCTTTAACAAGGCTTGTCTCAACTGAGTCACAGTTCCTAACGTACGTTTATGGTATCTGGCTCTTCTTTCTGTTGGTGGTGGGGGGGTCCACTGTATTATTTCCGTATGTTATCAGATGAGTATTATTCTGAAGGGTTAATAAATATAATAATTTAAATAAACCCCTATTACCTTTTTTTATCCTTATGAACAAGTAAAGAAAGAAATTATAATGATGCACAAATGTATTCCAAGAGCGAGCTGGATCTTCAGCTGGGCTGAGGAAGGTGGTGAGGCCAAGGAGGAAGGGTGCTTATTTGGGAGCATCCCTGCTGTCCTTGCCCAGCACCCAAATAACCTGATGAGCACAGACCAAGGCGCTCATCAACCTACACATGGTCCAGACCTTGACAGCCTCTTCTGTGCCCACCTTTGCACCCATCTCCCTGGGTGCCGGTGGGATCCCTCAGCCCAGCACATCCTCAGCATTCTGGACAGCTTCCTGGATTTCCAGTTTCTGGCAAAGAGCAATGAGGATGTCCCACGGGTGGCAATTTTGTGCTGGATCACCGTCACTCGGCACAGAGCACGTGCTGCACTGCAGGCTGCTAGAGGAATGCCACTGAGGCATCAGAATACCATTGTACATTAAACAAGAACGCATAATTAATAACCAAAATAAAGGAATGAATCACATTAATCAGTAGAAGAAGATGCAATAAGCTGAGACTAAGCAAGGGAACAATTTAGCTCGTACAGGAGGATACACAATTGAATTCCAAAGCGATTGTACTCGATGGCTTGCCCAGTAATCATGTTAGTTTGCATCCGTGGTAGTTCCCAGTGGGTGTAGTTCAGTCCCAGCCAGGCAAGGCCAGCTGAAGGATCTGGCAAGCCCCTGGCACTCGGCTCTGTTAACAGTGTACTCCACCGAGGTGCCTAGGGAGCGAGACACCACATAAAGTGTACCAATTCCATGTGCCTCCATCCCTGCCTCTGTTCTCCTCGAGACAAACAGCACATCAGGACTCCATATCCCTCTGCTACCTCCACCTTCACCTCAGTGGAACTACTGAGTACGTGTTTCAGCTTCCACTTTTTTGTGGCCCTTACTGTCGCCCATTGCCTCCTTCACTGATTCACCCACCCTCCCCTCTGCACTGCCTCTTCGGGATGAAGGTCCCTTCACCCGCTATTACAAAGCTGACCGGTTCCAGGTGCTTTAGACTGCTGGAAGTTTCACGGGTTCTCTGCGCAACAAAACCAGCCAGTCCTGTAGATCTGTGAGGGGCGTCCCCGTCACCCGTGAAGGCAAATTTATGTGAGAGTGGAAACTAAAGAGACCCTTTGCACAAGGTGCTCTATTCCAGTGAGCCTCGGGCGATGCTATCCTGTGAGCCTGGTCGCTTCACAGCCGTCCCTCCCGCTACAGAAACGCTGGAGCACGCTACAAGCTCTTGTTAAAACCCATGCCCCGGTTTGGGCGCTGCAGTGAGCGCCGCAGGACGCTCCTGCCGGCCCCATGCCCGACCTCTGCAGCCCCGCACTGGACGGGCGCACGTGGGGGCAGGACGGGGCGAACGCGAGCGGGACGCCTGGGAGCGGGTCCCGGGGCTGCGGACGGCATCGGGCGGGCGGGGGCAGCGCGGTGCTTCGCAGGGAAGGGCCCCCCCGTCGGGGCGGGGGCCGGGGGGCGGCCGCAGCCCCGCCAGGAGGCGTCAGGCGCCGGAGTCCCGCTCGCGCCCGGTCCCGGCTCCGTATAAATGGACGGCGGCGGCGGCGGCGGCGGCAGCGCTTCACCCGGACGGAGCCGGAGCTGGAGCTGGAGCTGCGCAGCGGCGGCACCGGCGGCCCCGGCGCGGCAGGATGGGCGGCGGCGGCCCGCGGCGGCCCGGAGCTCTGCCGCTGCTGGCGCTGGCGCTGCTGGCGGCACAGGGCGGCTCGGCTCCCCTGCAGCCCGGCGGCTCCCCCGCGCTCTCCAAGATCTACCCCCGCGGCAGCCACTGGGCTGTGGGTAAGTCTCCGTCCGGCCCGACGGCGCTCCCGCGGCGGCTCCAGGTGCCTCGTTCCGGAGGACACGGGTGCGACCGCCCGGAGTCCAACCGAGCGCCCCTGTCCCCGCCGTCGGCTCGGGGGATGGCTGCCGGCAGAAGCCCCGGCTCCCGCCGCTGCCCTGGAACCGACGGCTCGGGGCGAGCGAGTCCCCGACGGGCGCTTCCCTGTACCCGCCGGTGCGGGCGGGCTCTGTGCGCTCCCCGAGGGTCGGCAACCTGCGTGCCGGGCAGGCTCTGCCCCAGCACCCCGCGCTTGGCGGGGTAACGCAGCTTTGACGGGTTCATTTGGCGATGATGCTTCTACCGCTGCCTTTCCTCAGAGATGCAGGAGCCCAAACCAGAGCCCGAAGCAGCCCAGGGAGCTGTCGGCACCTTGGGAAGCCCTGGTCCGGCCGACGCCCCGGGGCGCTCGGCGGGGGGCTCCTCCAGCGCTGCCTCTCACCCTCCCCATCCCAGTAACCTCCTTTGCAAACTAAAGCCAGCTACGATTTCAGTTTGATGGCCATAAAGTACGGTATACCAAAAGTGCACCCAGTTTAGCTCCTAGAAAGGCACCGGAACATAGCTTTACACCGCAGTTCCCGCATGGCAGGTCAAGGCAGGGAATGTCTCAAGCCTGCTTCATACGGTTGGACTCAACGCTCTTAAAGGTCTTTTCCAACCTAGCTGATTCTATGAGTCTCCACCCACTTCTTATTCCAGCAATCTTACCAGGTGCCTGTCTCTAGCGCCAGGCACAGTGCTTGGGTTTCTCTGCCTTTTCTCAGCAACTTTTTCTCTGGCAATGTAGAATAAAAGATGGGGGAAATGGTGTGTGGCATTTCCAGTTCCAGCTGTTCTTTGACATTGTCTAAGCCATTCCCTCCGTGCTATCCATCAGTTTCATCTTCCAGCTGATGCTTGAGCAACCAAACCTATACCAGTCTTGGGTAATTTCATGCTACCGTAATTGTTGTTCCAGGGCATCTAATGGGGAAAAAGAGCACTGGAGATTTTCCTTATGCTTATGAAGAAGAAAATAAGACCCCATTTTCAGCATTACCTGAAAATATGAAGCAGCTGGAAGACTACCTGCAGTGGGAGGAAATCTCCAAGTATTTGCTACGGCTGCTGGAAAGGAGCGAAAATAGAAGTGCTCATGTTGTAAAAGGAGGGCTTCCCTGGTACACCAGGAATACCTGGGACACAGATGACAACAGCAGCTGGAAAAACGTAAGTAAGGAAAAACCTGTATGAGCACTCCATATTGTTCACTTTTCATTGTACGGTAACAGACCAGCTTCCTCTGGCTTGTGGGTTGTCCAGAAAAGCAGCACAAATGCATCTTGTGCACTAGTCATTCAGTAAAGTAAGAGTCTGCTCTCGATCACTGCTTTACTGATTAGTGATTATCTTGATTGCCCTGTCCCTGGCAGTGTTTAAGACCAGGCTGGACGGGGCTTGGAGCTACCTGGGCTATTGGAAGGTGTCCCTGCCCGTGGCAGGGGATTTGGAACTGGATGAGCCTTCAACCCAAACCATTCTGTGATTCTATGGTTATATATATTATTATATGTATTATATATGTTGTAATTTTAGTGGGTTAATTTGCCACTGGACATAAACTCAGATTTTAGTGCCTGCATTTCCTTCAAGTCACTCGGTTGTTCCATTCTCTTCTTTTCCAGCACCTCATGCTCATCTGGCCACATCAGCACCCAGCTGTGTATTAATCCAGCAAAAATAAGCTGGTGTGAAAACCAGGTGTGAGTATAGCGGGCAGGAAGAAGGCAGAGTGTGTTGTGTGTAACAGCACATCACATCGCCTGTCACCCTCGAGTGCTCATCAGAGGACGGAGCATCTGGGTTGAGGAGTTTCCTCTGTTCCCAGCTCTGGCTCGTCTTCTTCTTCCCTCAGGTTAATGGATTTACCAGCACTATTTCACAAGATAACAGGTCTTTGGACCAGACTCACCCCTGTTCTTTCGGAAAATCCTGTAAACCACACTTGGAAGTGTATCAGTGAGGCTTTAGAGAAAATAGGCAGGGCCTAAATGACACAAAATTGCAGAATTTACTAGAAAACTCCTGCCTTTATAATGCCTCAGGTACAGCCACGGTGACAGAACTGCAGGGGTTTGAAATAGAACGCAAAGATTACTACAGCCCCTTAAAGACATTGGTGGGAAGATTCTTTTCTTCCTATATTCTACTGCAATATCATGTAATTACTATTCCTCCCTCCTGAAATCCTGGTGCGCTGAAGTCAGTATTTGGGGTTTGATTTGAATATGGGTAAGAAATGAGAGCCGATATTTAAGTCTCTCATACCACTAATACAAATGCCATCCATAGGTTTCTTTCTGGCTTTATGACAGTGATACTTGCAGTAACAGTGATTACTCTTATCAAAAGAGGGAACTGTGTCGTCTTCAGCTCTGCAGTGGGCAGCTTTGTCATCAGATGAGACAAATCCCATTTTGCTATGGAAAGAGGGAAATATTTTGACTTTGAAAAGTACTTGGTAATGAATCGTACTTTCAAAGGCTGAAAGTTACCCCTGGTAAGTGTAGACATATCCAAGTGTGTGTTCTTTTACCCCACATTTTTGTGCTCAGACCGTGAACATGTACATGGAATAATGAGATTATTGCCTTAAATATCCAGATTTCTCCAGTGATTAGATTTCTGCTGAAAACCGTGTCTTCTGTGTGAGCAGGACTTGCAGGACTGAACCTTGGATATCCAGCATTCAGCAGTTACTTTGTCTCTATCTTGAAGTAAAACATAACCATGAGAGTAGTATGAGTAGTAGGTGCCCTGTGCTTTCCTACTGCTGGACACCGATACCTGATTCTCTGCAGCCCAGATAGATGTGTTTTATCGGTTTTCCTTTGCCTTCAGAAAGTAAAACCCTAGCACCTGATGGTTAAGCTTTGTGTCTGCTTGAAATCTGTCTTCCAGGTGAAGATCAGAAGATGGGAAGGAATGTGCTTTACTTTTCTTCAGGGCTGTGATAGATATTTAAATAATGATCATTATTATTTTCAATAGAGGAGGCCGTATTTACGGGTACCTGTGAATGCCAGTCATGTGCGCACAAAGGGATACAAGAGCATTTGGATTCTGTAGCTCTTGACTCTAGATTTCCCTGGGTGTGAGGGGTTCAGTGTTGCACAGGTTAGACATCCCCCTTGTTTAAGGTGCTGCTGTCCCACAGCTCCCACAGGGGCCCCGTGTACAGGAATGGTGGATGTAGCTGTTTGCCTGAGGGGAGCAAGCTGGTGATGATGGTGCGGTGCACGTAGGAACCTTGTACCTGGCACTGAATACTTCTCCAGGCATATTGTGTTTGAGTTCAAAATAGGAACTGCTCTAGGAGGAGTGAGGCACTGTATTTCCAGTGGACTACTGCTCACTGTGAAATGCCCTTTTGGACTGAGGCATTGGAATGTGACCAAAACCCAGGAAATCATGAACCCCATCATGAGCGATGGAGCAGCCATCCCAGGACCGGATCACCAGCAAGGGGCTGTGGGTGCTCTTTGTCGGCTGAGCATACACTTGCAGAGGTGCTGACCATGAGTCCCTGGCTCTGTGTGTGCAGCTCTGTGTTCCCATCCACTGATTGGGAGTGAGAACTAGGCCTACAGCGGTGCACCTCAGTTAACTTCTTCTGTTTTCAGTTATTAGCAGGCAAATTAAGCTCTTGCCTGTGAAAAAATGACAGTTAAAGTAGGTAAAGATCAGAAAGGAACTCTGCTGCAAGTTAGACGCTCGGTTTACACTAAGTAAAAGTAACTTGGAAAATAAGCTTTACATTGTTTCTGTGGCTTGGCTTTTCAACACTAATGAGACACCATATAAATGAGACAGCAGGCAGAAGTCTTTGGGAGGATGACTTCCCTCATGCTTTGGCAGTTGGTTATTACACTAACTGAGACAAATGAGGTCTATTTTGGAAAGATTATTAGGAATGTGTTTGCTGTGTGAATACCCAGAGCAAGGGCTAGTTTGGACAGCTTATTGGGAATGCACTTGTTATGTGAACACACAGAGCAGATCTGTACCGGGCTTATTAACTTAGCGAATGACTTTCTCCAGGACTGTTCTATAAATAATATTCTTCTCTTTTGATCAGATGGTGGACTATCTGCTTCAAGTTGTGAATACGAAAGAGAGCACTCCAAGCTGAAAGAAGGTCTCTAAATCATCAAGAAGTGGAATACTTTCAATAAGAGACTATATTTCGCAAGCACTTGATTGCATCAGATAATTAACAAGGTCTCTTTTCTGTAAACAAGATTTCCTTGGTGTAAAATACCTAAATACACATATTCTTGTATGTTCAAGCAGTGACTAAACTCTTTACTTCAAGGCTGCATTTTCTCACTTGAATGGCTTTGATACATTTAATTGTCATGGAAGGGTCTTCCAATTAATGATATGACTTATCTAATCAGTTCATCTCTTAGCTCAAAACTAGATGACATTTCCACATTCGCAATAAATAGTACTATCGAAAAGGCTGACTTTATACTCTCATTTGGGTTAATAAAATGGAAATTGGCTGTGCCACAGCCAGTAACAAAGAAACAGCACAATGATTCATTCCCACCGAAGCTCTTCTCCAACTGAATTGCTCCCTGCTCTGTAGTTTTTTGTCACTCCAGGGGAGCTGACACAGCCTTCCCAAGGCATGGAGTGTGTGGTGCTCCCCCACATGCAGGCAGCAAGGAGATCTGCTGGACAGACAGACCAAGGAGAGGGCAGTAAAGGGCCACAAAAGGTGATTCAGGGGCTTTTCCGTCTCTCCTAGAAGGAAAGGCTATGGCTTTTGTTGGACCAGGTGGCCTTTAAGGTCTATTCCAGCCTGTATTCCGTGATGCTATGGCTCTATGAGCTGTTCAGCCTGGAGAAGAGAAGGCTCGGGGGGGTCTTACCAGGGAGGGTGTAAAGGAGAGAGGGCCGGGCTCTTTCCAGTGGTATCGGTGACAGAACCGTGGGCACTGGGCACCTCTGAACGTCAGGAAACACTTTGTCACTGTGACGGTGGAGCCTCCCTCTTTGGAGCTATCCACAAGCCACCTGGGCACGGTTCTGGGTAACCGGTGCTGGGTCGCACAGTGACGTCCACCCCGGCCGGCCGGAAGTGAAGGGGTGAAATGGGGCAAATGCGATCCTTGCACACAGCTCGTGCAAACGGTCCCGGCCCCGCCGGTCCCGGGCAATGACCCCCCCCCCCCCCCCCCCCGCCAGCCACCCCGGAGCCAGCGCCGCGGCCGCCTGAGGTGAAGTTCCGGCCGCGTCCACCAGGCGGCGCCCTCGCGCCACTGTCCGTGCCCTGCCGGTCCCGGCAAAGGAGGGAGCTCCCGTGCGCCCCGGTCCTGCCGTCGGGCGGGGGGCTCCTGGCTCCGTGCAGGGCCACCCTGGGCAGCTCTACCCAAGCGCTTTGCCAGGACACCCGGAGAGGAGAAAGCCCTGCCTCAGTTTCCCTGCACGTAAAATGGGGCTCCCCCGTCCCGCAGACGGCACCAAATAAACTGGAAGGGTCTCCCGAGCCCATCCGGCAGGGATGGAGGGTTGGCCCTGGCCAGAGCCAGCCCTGCGCTGCTGGAAAGCAGCTGAGCTGGACTCCGTGCCAGACCTCTCCGTGGCTTAAATAGGTCAGGTGTCCTTGGAAGTCTGCTTGAGTTCTGACAGGAGTTTGAACAGCGGTGGGAAGGCAGAGAGATCAGAACGCACTTTCTGTGGGAAATGGTGCCCTCGAGACAAGAGTGTCATGATGGCATTTTCCTGATAATTATGTATTCAGAGATCTTCAAAGCTCTTTATGCTGTCTTCTGTCCCTCATAGCACCGACCTGTGCAAAGCTTTACACCTGTGTGTGCTGAGCCTGGGATTTCTGAGCTGGGCAGAGGCAGCCAGGCCTAACGGAAAGACTTCTCACGAACAGAGGTCTGTCTACCTGTCTGCATTTCACATCTTAATGAGAACTCACCCGGGATTAACCTCCTTTGCCAGCGGAGGCATTGCTACAGGTGAAGCAGCTGCAGAGATGCCCAGATTCTACTTTTCCAGAGCTTTGCAGCAGATGCAAACCGGACGATTTCATGTATAGCATAAAGGAATGCGTGCCCATCCGTACTGTTCCCAGTGGAAAAAGCTGCTCTTGGGAAAGCTCTCACAAGTACTCACAGCTTCGCTCCCCAGACCCTAAGCCTGGTGCCACGAGTCACTGTGACCACTGACAAACCCTGTCCTACAAGTTCACCTCTCCCCAAAGGTAACAACGTTCGCTGTCTGCAACTGCCTCCTTGCAAAGGAGTACATTTCTTAGCATTCCCACTATTTCTTTTATCCGTGCTGTTATTCCTTATTCAGATGTTGCAAAGAATACAAATACAGACGCTAAAAATACTTCCTTGCTAATACAGTTTAAGCAAAAGAAGAACTAGATCACTCGGAACAGGCCATGCTAATAGCCTTAGCAAAGTTGGAGTAAAGAAGTGGTTAAGGATCTAGATGATTTAATCCACTTTTAAGAAAAGGTTTTACAGTGAGCAATTAGATGCTGTTTAAGGAATTAATCACTAATGGGTCATTAACTCTGACTGCTATTGTACAGTTAACAACCGGAGGCAGGATTATTAGACTCAGCACCCAATTAAGGAGAAGATATTTACAACAAAATGAACAAATGAGCTTTTAAAATGGAATGGGACAGTTTGAGGGAAGTGTAGGAGCACAGACAACCAGGCAGGGCCCAAGGGAGCCCTGATTTTCTGTGTGCCTCTGTCCCTGTCGTTCTTTGGGCAATATTTACCTGCCTGTGCCCGCTGCTGCTTGGCTTTCGAACTCTTTCTTTTTAGCAATAAGCTCATAGCTTTCCTGGAAGGACGTGACAGCACAGTTTATGCATTGCAGGGTTCACATACGCAATGTATTAAAAAAGACCCGCTTAATATGTCAGTAAAAGAACAATCGCCACAGCTTGAGGTTCTCCTTCACTCCTTACTCCCAGGACCGTAATGGAAGTGAGGATCTGGTTTGTTTTCTGCTATCCTGTCATGCTTTTCTCTAGTGTTAGTCCCCAAGCACCTCAAGCAAGCACCAGTGCCGATGACAGCACTGATCAGAAAGTTGGGGGGGGGCAGTCCAATGTCCTTACAGGCTCAGAAGAACCGGGGGCAGCAGGGAAGGGAGGGCAGGGCTGTCAGAATGGGGGAGAACATCGCTGACATCTCGGGGGGTTGCTTGCTCATCAAGAGCAATAAGCACAGGCAGGAATCGGGCGCCAGTTGAACGTGCTCGCACGCAGGAGGGTTTTGGGCATCAGAGCCACAGCTGGACCACAGCCGAGTAATGACAAGAGGGATTGTTCCCATGGCGAGGAGGAGGAAGAGCGCGCGGAGCCTGCGCCATCATTCCTTAGTGTGCGTCGCTACTGACGCAGCCCGGGGTGTGCGGGCGCTTCTCGAGCACACCAAGAGGCATCCTTCCTTTGCAGCCCCCTTGGGGATGCCAACAAAGCTCACCTGGGAAAGGACCGCTGGAGTGAGACCTGAGCCCAAAGAAACAGTTTTTTGCTCTTCTCCTGTTTCCCCCTGAGTTTACTGAGGCCTCCTCACAGAGCTAGCAAAGTATCTCCCTGGTTCTGAGAGCAGCAGCGCTTTCTTTCCCTAAGTGCAGGGCACCTTCTTTGCCAGGGAAGCAAACAGCAGTGTGCTGGGAAGGCTGGGCACCACCATGGCCGTACAAACAGCGGCCATGCACCATGGCCCAAGCAGAGCTACATCCCCCCTCGGTTCACTGGGGAGCACTCGCTGGGGCTCCCTGCACCCCCCGGAGCAGAGCTGCTCAGGGAAGAGAAGCCCGGGCCCAGGGTGAGCTCCGCTCCAGAGGCAGGTTGGACCTGCAGGGACGCTGGGGAGAGAGGAAAAGGCATTTCAAAATAGAGGGATTCCTGTTATTATCTGTAAAAGCAGCTCTCCAGACAATAGGTGGGGGCTGCTGAGGAGAAGGCTGTGAAGGGATGTTTAGAAACTGCTGTCTAAGGTTAAAAAGCTCTCTGAAGTGAAGCTGAACAAAGCTGACATACTTGTTTCTGACAGGACTCTTAAAAGATACGCACAGATTGTGAAAATATAATTAGACGCCAGCCTTTGTCTGGCCACAACGAGTGGGAAATGGTGAAAGGAGAGGTCTCCCAGTCTGCATTGAATCATCCCCAGGACACAATGAGGGCACTTGTGCATCCTTCTCTCTTCCCTAATGAGAAACGTTAATTGCCACAACCTCCAGAGTGTGTAGAGCACCCTGTGCCCAGCGGAGGAGAAGGGGTGTTTCATTACAGCTTCTCAGCCCCATTACAGGCAGTAACGGAGATAATGGAAAAGAAAGATGCCACAGTTTTGGTTTCAGCAGCCTGGCGATGGGCACCGCGCGCGCAGGGGAGCTGGCTCGGCTCAGCACCGTTCTGGCCCCCGGGGGCTGCACTGGGCAGGATGCGCCCCCGTGGGCCCTGCTGACAGCTCCATGCTCCCAGTGCCCGGCAGCTACTGCCCGTGTCCCGCAGCCAGGCCTGGCCCAACCCTCCGCGGTCCCCGGCGGCGCAGACCTGGCCCGAGCAGCCCGTTTGGGTGCACAGCCCCACACACAGCCCTCACACAGGACGCGCCATGTGAGGGTGCAGCAAAAGCAGAAAACCCTCCCCAGGCAACGCAGGCCTCGGTTTCCAGGCACCTTACACAGCTCCTCACCCTACTGCAGCTTTTATTGCAACTAAAGTGTCCAGCCAAGGAGGGAGAGCAAAGGTTGTTTTCTCTTCTAAGCTATGATCAGGGCCCTAACTCTGCAGGGCACGTGGAAAAGGGAATTAAAAGGACCACAAAATACAAAGCAAGTCAAGGCGTGGGGGAAAGGCTGGTGCGAGGGACAGCCCTCTTTCACCTGGCTGTCCACAGAGCAAGAGCAGGGCGAGGGTGTCCCTTGGGCGTCCCAGGAGCAGCCTTCCCTGCGGGTTTCTCCCGGGGCGCCGAAGAGGAAGTTCAGATTGTCTGCCAGGGTTTGCCGATGGACTGGATGTGCTCCTTGGCCTTCAGCCGCAGGGCAGCAATGCTGGTGTTGCGGGGGTCTGCCTCGTCCAAGGGGAACTTGTCCACAAAGGTGGCTCCACACTGGTATGGCGGCGGTGGCCCCATAGCCCCCAGCGGCTGCAGCGCGTGGGTCACTGCGGGAGAGTTCAGGAAGGGCGGTGGGGTGTAGGTGCCGGGCAGGCTCTGCGGCGGGGACACGAAGCCGGGCAGGCTCTGCAGGGCCGTGCTGCTGGGCACTGGTGGGCTGAGCCACGTCTCCAGGGGCAGGTTGCTGCTGAGAGGACCCATGGGTGTTGCCTGCGGTGAGCGGTTGAAGGAGAGGATGGGCGAGTCCTGCAGCTTCATGGAGGTCACTTCCAGCTTCTCCTGCCGCCTCCACTTGGCCCGTCTGTTCTGAAACCACACCTGCGGGCAGAGCGG